GATTCACCCTCTTGGAATAAATCATTCGAAGCGGACGAGTGGTGCCGAACGAATCGCGAAGGGTCGCAACCCCCCCGCAAGATTAGATTAATCTCGTAACGCCAAAAAATAACTGCTGCCGACGGACAAAACTTCTCCTTTGCGTGAAGCCCCGGTGATGTTAACAGACCAGCGACGTCTTTCCAGACTTTTTGAATAAAAAAAAATCTGAAAAAAATAAATAATCTGAGAATATGATTGATGAAACGTCACGTCCGTTCTTTTCCGAGTGGCATCGCGTGACGGCACCTTGGTCAGCATGAAGACGCAATGACGTCGTTACGCGATGCAAACGATCTTGAAATACATCTGAATATTTTGTGAAATTGTCCTTAAATATCGGAAGAATGTGAAACCTGATTTATCATTTTTTTTTTAACTGAAACCCGTCCCTGCAACACACACAATTTCCAAGCAGCACACAGGAGTACGGTACGATCATAAAACATTCGTCGGTGCACATTTACAACAAGCCACACAATTACAACGGCACCAACCAATTAGCAATGGATCATCACGGACGAGACGAGCATTTAGCCAACGTTGATACGACGCTCGATAAGCGTACGCTCTTACAGTTACATGCGCACAATCTCCAGCAAGGATCACCACTTCTACCAGCTGTGCAGGTGGTGAACGGTGATAACAAGCAACGGAATGCACCGATTACACACGTTTTGTATGAAAACTTTCGTTAAGCTTTGCTTAACGGGAGATTATATATATTGTAATCGCATTAATAATACAACTCCAGAGTCTACACGCTCACCTAGCAGAAGTGATAGAATAGACGATATGATTTCAGGAGGATAGAGGAATTGCCTGCGATAATTAGAATGTATTTTATGCTCAAAAAGGACAGTTCTTAACCACACCAAGCCCGGGAGTAGAATTCGACTGTCGTGTGGCAGTGGCCAGTCTATCCCTAGGACAACTGCTGTTGTACTATTGCAGTTGTATTGATTAATGTGTTTAGTTTCTGTGTGTTAAATGTACTTCTGCACCACTGCCAAATCAGCTGCAGTGGCATCACCACCAAATAATCTGTTTACCAATGACTGATATTTGCGCCGCCCGATCTTTTCAGATCTCAGAAGCCGAGCGGAATTTTAGCCATGGACGGTGCTGGGGATGAGTGACCGCCACAAATGAAACAGGCGCCACACAAAGGCTGCTGCTGTGAGGGCTGTCGTGATCAGAGAGGGCAGTGCAGCCAGACCCATCGTCCTGCTTGCACCATGCTCCAACCAACAGCGTCTATGCTCTCCTCCTTCACCAACAACGGAAGAGTATGACCTCAGCCCGGCGGTTTAACGATCCGTCTCCACGTTGCCCGAATGCCCCGCGATGTGAACAATTTCACAGGTGGCACTATTCGGCGTTTTTCACATTGTCACATTTTTTACCTTCACATTTTTTTTATTTGTCCCTATGCCCCAGCGGCGTGTGGGGTGGCGCTCATCTCCACTGCCGGCCCCTGAGCCAGTCGGTGGAAATTCCACGTTCCTACGACGAGACTCAGTCCATCCATAGGACTGCCACTGGTGACTCCCTGCTCATTACTACCACGACTACTAATCATGATGAAGAGTCTCAAGACCCTTCTGGAGGAGGGTTCTGCATTGGGATGTTTACCCACCCACACGATAAAGACACAATGAGCGTTTCACAGGTGGGAATAAGCCAGAGTAACCGGAGGAAAACTCCCTCGTGCACATCAGGGACAGCACTCAAAAGGTCTGAATAGTTGGCGAGGCGGAGGGATAACGAAACCCGCTTGCTGTGCCGCTATCTCTTCACCACCGCACAGTAGCCCAGCAGGTTTGGGAGTTTCACAAATCACTACGCGATCCTACCAACCCCCGTCTCCAAAGCGATGGGAGGTCAGATACATTCCACCCGTGCCCTTTAACACGTGGAAGTAAGATGAGCTGGGTGTGTAGTGGCATTTCACAACAGGAATGTGTTCATCCAGCAGTGGTTAGAGAATTGCTACTGCTGACAGACGACGATGCTAAAGAAGATATACTGGTAGGAACCTCCTGGTTACACCAGCCCACAGGGGATTATTGTGTCCGTCCGTCCGTCGTGCATCCAAAAATGGGAGGGTGGGGCTGGGTGGAGAGGGGAGGGTGGGGAGGGAGGGGCTGGTGGGGAGGGTGGGGCTGGGTGGGGAGGGGAGGGTGGGGAGGGGCTGGGTGGGGAGGGGAGGGTGGGGAGGGGCTGGGTGGGGAGGGGCTGGGTGGGGAGGGGAGGGAGGGGCTGGGTGGGAGGTGGGAGGGGTGGGGCTGTGCGGGGAGGGGCTGGTCACCCCGTGGTGCCCTTATAAAACTCAACGTTTAACCTACTCACGCCGGCTTGCGCCCGCCCTCACAGTCGGGCATATTGTGCGGAACACACCACGTGGTGGTGCCGCCGTTGACCCTGGCCATTGACCGAGCAACCCAACGTTCCTACCAGCTCCCTCCGCAGGAATGTGCTATACAAAACGCAATAAGGTGCTTTAATGTCCAATTAAAAAAAAAAACGTTCCTATTAAAATACAAACGTGCATAAATAAAAGGAAAACATTTCACGACACTACGCAACACAGCACTGTCACGGTGCAAGTTCAGTATCGGCATTACGAGCTTCGCACGAACGACTCTCTGGTGTGGGCATCTTCCCGCAATTATCAATGTCAAACACTCGCGCAGACATACGACATCGGTAACCACGCAAACATACGTGCAGCGCTTCGAGTTCACCAGGATCAGTCCGGAGCGGTGTCCCGGCAGCGATTCAAATTTGGCCTGTCACTTCCATTTCTTCAACATCGTATGCCGAACTTTAATACGCGCGAGCTGAGCTGCTGCGAACATCCCCGATGATGACGCTGGATGCAGTCTCCGTCGAAACGTCGCATGCAGCCGTCAGAAACATTTTTTTTTGCGGCTTGATTTTCAACATTTTGCCGAAAACCAAACCAAATTGGCACATTTGCCCACGCAACGCTCGACTTCTTTCGCACCGCGCGTGGCCAACCGCGCTCATCGGCGGACGTGCGGCGGCAGGACAGCGAACTAAACACGTCACGTGGCGATTCGACGTGATTGACTCTGTCGGGCAGCCGAGTTCAAAACCCGACATTGCACCGACACGACCTTTAACCCCCCCGAACGGCCACGAGTTTACGAATCGACGTAAGGGGGTCGTCATTCGCGGACAGGCGGCGCCTCGTACTCGGGGAGTGGCACAGTTTGCTTCACGCCGACAATTCGCAACATCGAGCACGGCCGGGCAACTTCGTGGAAACATACGGGGGGGGCGGGGGGGGGGATATGTTGTGTCCCGTGGGGCGCACGTACGGCAAGCCCCCCCCCCTTGCCCCGCGCTACGAGCGTCGATCCTGCAGTGCCGGATGAAGCAAGCGCGGGGCCTGTAGCATGATGTTATAAAGGGGCCCTAAATTAAATACAAAAAATACCACGTAAATATTGAAAACGATTTTTTTTACTTGCATAGTAAAGTAATTGTATTTTTTTCATTTGCTATACAGCCAGATAATACGACAAATCGTTAACCTTAAACAACCCAGTCGTTCATAAAAGTTGAAGGCGGTATAGTACTATAGTAATTGAGCAAGTGCAGAATCACTGGACCGGAATTGATAGCTTGAAAGCATTTCGTGCGGGGCCCTTGAAAGTGCGGGGCCCGTAGCTACTACTTATGTAGCTACTACATATGTAGCTACTACTTATGTAGCTAGTACATATGTAGCTACTTTAGCTACGAGGATAATCCGGCACTGCGTTCCAGCAGAACTGCTGGGAGGCAAGAAAGGAATTGGCATGGCCAGCAGTGGAGGCAATAGGTTTTGTCCGCGGTGTTAGTGGCATTCGCTTCAACGAGTGGGCTCTGTCTGCGACACGTGCAGATGAAACAAACCCCGGTTGGAGCGTGAGTGATGGCGTTGTACGAGATTCCCCCGACTGATTACCTCCATTAAATAAATGCGCCCATGTACGCGCGTGTGTGTGTAGCTGCCACTGCTGCCTCTAAGTAGCCATGCGCATCGCAGGTGTGTGGGTGTGGGTCTTTCCCCGAATTTAATTACCGCTCACGGCCAACACCAGTGACAATTATCTGAATCGCTCCTGGGCCTCCCCTAGGTCGACTCAGCCTCAAATGAGTACCTGGTGCGATGTGCAAACATCACCACTTGGGAGACAAAGGGAGCCGGATGTGGTGCTGGCCACCCACCCCCTTGTGTACCGTGCCGGCCTTCATAGGTGCTCGCTCACAGCACTTGTCCCAAGTCTGTTAAGGCTACACGGGGGGTCTTTGTCTTTGTGGGTCTCTCTCTCTCTCACTCTCTCTATACATCATCAACCAGCCATGGAGGCTTCCATGATCTTTCAGGGAAGCACAAATGATATCGCCTTCCCTCTGTCCAAGGCCATCATGGCTCCCTGCCTTTAAACTCCAAAGCCCATAAACAAGGTGTGTTTGAGTGTGTGTGTGTGGTGTTCAATTCCTGCTCACGTTCAATAACTAGTGGTGAATATTATAACCGATCCTGGGCCTCTCCGAGGTCGACTCAGCCATAAATGAGTCCCCAATGCGGCGTGTAAAAGTCGTCACATTGGGGAGACAAAGGTGCCCGGACTTGGTCTTGGCCAACTACTCCCTCGTGCGTTGGCCCCCATTGGTGCTCACTAACAGCACTTGCACCAACAGGCTGTTAGAGGCTATACACAGGGGATATTTGTCTTCGTGTGTGTGTGTGTGCATCAGGCGGGTGGGGAAATTGATTAATTCTAAACGATCAAGAAGCCGCGTGAAATCTATGAAAGGGACACGGAGGACGGCTTTCCCTCTGTCGGCTGCCCAAATAGAATCTCCCGCGTATGTAGCCGGCACATGTAGACTTTAAGTTCTAAATGCTCTATTTGTATGTGATGCGTTTTGTTAGCCGTGTATTTTTTGTGTGCGGGTTCTACCGTGATGTTGACGCACGACCGTGCCATTCGGAATGTGACCACGTGCAGTCGTTTTGGGATTATTTTGTTCATGTTTTGTTGTTGCTGCTGTAATCAAGTTTTTAATATGTAACCAGATTCCCATCGACAATGAGCATCTATTCCCCAATTAGTTATACTTGTGCCAAGATAAAATAAAACATAAATGTGCGTGTGTACATTTGTCCGGTGCTTAAGAACAACTTTGAGATCGGCACGATCGTACAGCGGAATCTTTTAAAGCAGCCACACCAATATGTCTTGCCCTCTTATACAAGGGAATCCGCTGCAGTTCCTGCCTCTTACGTATCCACACGTGCGCGTACGTCTGTATGTTGAACTTCTTTCGCACCGTGCGTAGCCAAACCGTGCGAATCGGAGGTGCGGGGGACGGACAACAAACTAAATACGACAAAAACCAGCTGCAGCAGATACGTGTGCGTGCGAGAGAGCGCTTCGGGAATGATAATGAATTCAGCACGATCACACAGCCAAGGCGACTCGTGATCATCCATCAGGAGCACGGCTTGCTCTATTGCACACTGGCGGTGACATGCGCTCGCAAACGCAGCGGACCCGAAGCAACTCGCTTCACTGGTCCCTCCTTGCACCCGCCCCCCGATAACCAGAAGCACATCAAGTCCAAAGCAACGACGCCTCCTCCGGCCCTCTTAAGTGTCCACGTCAATGCCGGCGGCGGGGCCGTACGCCTTGGCGTGCCCGTGCCCTCCGCCCACCGCGTTGACGCTCTGCATCGTGAGCCGCGTCGACCCCGTGACCCTGGACGAGGTGCCGAGCGTCGCGCTGTGACCCCGCCGCAGGGGCGCGGGTCCTCCTCGCTCGCAGCAGGCGAGAAGCGGAGGCCGCGCGGCGGGCCGCTCGCACAGCGTCTGGCGCAGGTGGCCGCGGAAACCGCTGGAGACGGCGCAGAGCGCCAGCGGGTTGACGCACGAGTTGGCGAAGATGAGCGCGCGGGACAGCAGGAAGAACGCCTTGTGCGTCGGGGAGAGGTCCGGCTGCGACTGATCGCGGAACACGCGGTAGAGCTGCAGCGCGTGGTTGGGCAGCGAGCAGAGGGCGAAGAGAGCCACCAGCAGCAGCACCGTCTTAGCGAGCCGACGGCGGCTGCTCACCTGCCTCGCCTGCGCAGCGGAGGAGGGGGAAGAGGAGCGGCGCGCGGATTGGCACGGCAGCGCACACCGAGCCAGAGCACCGGGGAGGGGGTGGGTGTGTAGTGTGAACTCGACTGCGGGTCATCCCCGTCGTCCCCCTCCCCCCCACCCCACGTCGGTTCGACAAAAAAGTCACGAATCGACGTCACGATTTGATGCACGGCGTCGGTAACTTGCTTTCGTTTCGATTATTTTTTTTACATCTTTTGGAACGGCTCGTTCCTACAGTGTTGTTCGCCTCCCATTAATCTAAATGTGGCATGAGCATGAAAATCGTTAAAATACTAAATGTATAGCCCATCGCCGAATGAAGGTCTCCCCGCGTCGGTCATGCGGGTTATTTATTTGCCCACGCTTCACTCTGGGAGAGAGAACGCAAGAGAGAGAGAGAGAGACACAGCCACAACTAGAGAGAGACACACAGCCACAACTAGAGAGAGACACACAGCTACACCTAGAGACACACAGCCACAACTAGAGAGAGAGACACACACAGCCACAACTAGAGAGAGACACACAGCCACAACTAAAGAGAGAGACACACAGCCACAACTAGAGAGAGACACACAGCCACAACTAGAGAGAGACACAGCCACAACTAGAGAGAGACACACACAGCCACAACTAGAGAGAGACACACAGCCACAACGAGAGAGAGACACAGCCACAACTAGAGAGAGACACACAGCCACAACTAGAGAGAGACACACAGCCACAACTAGAGAGAGACACACAGCCACAACTAGAGAGAGAGACACACAGTCACAACTAGAGAGGCACACACCCACAACTAGAGAGAGACACACAGCCACAACTAGAGAGAGAGACACACAGCCACAACTAGAGAGACACACAGCCACAACTAGAGAGAGACACACAGCCACAACTAGAGAGAGACACACAGCCACAACTAGAGAGAGACACACAGCCACAACTAGAGAGAGACACACAGCCACAACTAGAGAGAGAGACACACAGCCACAACTAGAGAGACACACACCCACAACTAGAGAGAGACACACAGCCACAACTAGAGAGAGAGACGCACAGCCACAACTAGAGAGACACACAGCCACAACTAGAGAGAGACACACAGCCACAACTAGAGAGAGACACACAGCCACAACTAGAGAGAGACACACAGCCACAACTAGAGAGAGAGAGACACACAGCCCCAGCGTGTTGCAGTGAGTTTGTTACTGCAGCTTGCCACTGCCTCACACGTGTTGGGGTGAAATGGCGGCGTCCACGTGCTGCATGGTGACTCAGGGCTTGGACCTGAAGCTACACAGGCACAATGCTGCCACGTGCAGATCAAAGATGGGTAGGCACGCGTTATCATTGAGCTTAGCCACATGTTGTTACATCAATATTGCTATAGTTAATTGGGAATCGTCCCTTAGATTCTAATACGTGTTAATGGACTGTTGACTGATTTGATAATGGCATCAAATACATTTTGGAAAAAAATTGAAATGAAAGTTTACTTTGATAATTTAACGCACGCATGTCTATATGAAAACGGCTGGTGCCAATTTGGGTGGGCCGCTTACAGGAGGAATGAACACCGCACCCCTCGATCTCCCGCTGTCGACGGAATCGAGCACACGCAAATTATTGTTTAAAATAAAAAAAATCCTCCACGGACAACGGTGGCACCGATGAACGCACGTCTGTTACGTCGCGCGAAGGTTGCGAGGTGCTTATTGAACATCATCGCCACCTTGTTCGCTGCGGGATTTCTAGAAACTGCAAGCCCCAACGCCCCCCCCTCCCCCCACTTCTGCAGGCCTGCTCCGTTGCTGTCTCAAAGGCAGGAGGGAGGAGAGCAAGCGAAGGCAGCACAACGAGAGGGAACTGACAAGAGGGAGAGAACGCACAGCAAGACAAAATATCCCCTCGTGTAGCCTTCAAAACTGCTCTAGAGGAGTTGTACACCCCTAGCTGCCACTGCTATTCAGTGGCCTAAAATCAAATGTTTCACTTCGGATGGCCACTGCAAAGTATGATCTTGTGTTTTGATTTAGCGTGCTGATCTTTAAAGGTGCATTGATACTCCGACTGATGCTCCTGCTGTTGTGGAGTGACTCATGCAGCTAGCTATGGCTACAGGGTTTTGGTGGTACATGTTGTTTGTGTCGTTTATTGTGAAATTTCGGTCACAGTCCCTATGATCACTGTTATATCGCTTTTATGGCTTTATTTTTTGGTGATTTCGAAAACGTTTTTTTGGTTTGGCCGTGTCTGTTTGTTGTAGTACGGAGTTGTACTGATGGCTTTAATCTAAGTTGTCTTGTGGTTGTTGTTGTTGTTGTTTGACTTGCATCCCACTGGGATTTTTGCACACAGCGTTGGTGTACGGTGCTTTTTCAGGAAGATTTTGCTGTTTTTTCCTGGATTTTTCTGTTTGCGCATAGTCACGTAAAAATGTTTTCTTGTTCATGTTTTTATGTTTGTTGCGGTTGCACCCGATTCAAGAGCCGAATGGCTCACAGGGCTATACCAAATAAAATGAAACTGAAACAGGCTGTTGGGGCAAGCGCTGTTAGCGAGCGGCTGTGAAAGCTGGAAACGGCACACGAGGGGGGTGGGTGGCCAGCACCACGCCTGGCCGCCTTTGTCTCCCGAGTGGCGATGTTTACACACCGCACCAGGTACTCATTTGAGTCGAACCAACCTGTGGGAGGCCGAGGAGTGATTTGGATAATCGCCACTGGTTGTTGGCCACGAGCTGGAATAGAACTCGGGTTGGTTCGTAGCGTAGCGCGCTAACCACCATCACTCCACACACTCACAACAGCGAGGCGCTGGGTCAACTTTGAGGCCACGCTGGCAGGAGGTCACGGAGCATATCCAGGTGCCATGGGCGGACTGACTTAAGATGCCTGGCAGTTGCACCACCCGTGCTCACCACTGCGCCAACTTTCTGCGTTTTAGTCGCCTGGCGCTTGCGCACTTTAAGGCCACGTGAAGTGTCGAACGACCGCTGGCAGGAGGTCACGGGGGCAGACCCAGGTGTCAAAGGTCGACTGGCTGATCTTGACACACACACACACACGGCCACATGTGCACACCGTCACGCCCCCCGCCGCCGCCGCCGCCGCCCTTTCGGAGGCTCACCGCATTGTTGCCGGGAACTCTACCGGCCGAGCCGAGCAGCTCGGCCGAGATGAAGCAGTAGAAGACGGTGATGAGCGTGAGCGGCGCCACGAAGTACACGCACGACACCGCCACGGCGTGGGCGCGCATCGCCGCCGTGCCGTTGTGCGGGAAGGGCACGCACACCATGCTGGTGGTGGTGACCGCCACGGTGGTGTTGGAGGAGGCGTTCAGCGCGAGCAGCGTGAAGGGGAGGGGCACGACGTCGGCCAGGACGCTGTCTGGCGTGGCGAGGGCGATGGAGCCCAGCCAGATGCACAGCACGGTGAACCACGTCGAGCTGAAGCGGCCGTGACGCGGTTCGTCCATGGGCCTCACGATGGCTCTGTACCTGCAAGCCAGCGGGGGGAGGGGGGTGGGGGGACACGTGACCCTGAAGCCCCTCCAGCACTCCCTTTTTCCACTGGCGGCACATCCGAGCCGAACTGGGGCCGTGCCACGTAATGTGTGGACGTACAAATCTTGACTTCAAGCTTTCGTGACTGCAGGAATTCATCTTCTTTGGGTCTTTCGGTAAAGTCACGTAGATATGTTCGAAGAAAATAACAAAAAACTACGACGTTTCGATCGCAACACAAGCGGTCGTCATCAGCTTTTCCTGTTGTTACCTTGTTGTAACATCTCTCTCGCTGGTTCAGCAGTTCTACTGCTGGATTGTTTTTTTCCGCCTGAGGACGACCGCTTGTGTTGCGATCGAAACTTCGTGAGATATTATTTTTTTGATTTAAAGCTTTCGTGACTGCAGTAATTCATAATCTTAGCTCTTTCGGTAAAGTCACGTTGAAGGGACACAATAAAATAATAAAATATATATAAAACAATAAAAATTCTCACGACGTTTCGACCATAACACAAACCTGATGACGACCGTTTGTGTTATGGTCGAAACGTCGTGAGAATTTTTTTGTTTTATATATATTTTATTATTTTATTGTGTCCCTTCAACGTGACTTTACCGAAAGAGCTAAGATTATATATTATTTTTTGTTTCATTAACATTTTCTACCTACGTGACTTTACCGAAAGAACCAGATCATTTACAATCTGAGTACGACGTTTCGCCAGTAATTACAACTAGCTTCATCAGGCGACAAATCTGGCTGTCGCCTGATGAAGCGAGTTGTAATTACTGGCGAAACGTCGTACTCAGATTGTAAATGCTGTGGCTTGGCTCTCCAACACACTGGCGTGCTGTACTAGTATACTACACTATACACTACACTATACACTACACTATACACTACACTATACACTAGTGCTGTACTAGTGACGAACTGGCCACGTTCTGTTTACGTGACAACCCTTGCTAGTTGGCTGTGTCGGGCGGTGGCGGGTTTTAACGACACACTTATATATTTACGCGATCTAACAAAAAATAAAACCTCTATTATGGATGATATCGGAAGCCTACTACGCGTTAAACTAAACAAATAACTTCCAAAGTATACATATAGAAATATAACCGGGGCAGCCGCCGGGCTCGAACTGCGTGCCCCCCTGCGAGGCAAACGGCGAAAGCGACGAAGCGGCGCTGGCATCGAACCTGTCGGCGCTGAGGGCCACCAGCGTGAATACGGAGATCCCCAGGGACGTGAGCTGCAGGAAGGGCAGCAGCTTGCAGCCGAGCCTCCCGAACATCCACGAGTCGTAGAAGAAGGAGATGGCACCCGACGGTACGCAGGTGACCAGCACCATCAGGTCGCCGATCGCCATGCTCACCAGGTGCACGTCCGATGCGTTGCCTTTTTCGGCGGTGGGGAGGGGGGCGGGTAGGGGGAACACAAGGGGAGCGCGAGGTGTTCCTGGAGGCCCGAGGCAGAAATCCAAACCGTGTGGCCCCCTGATTCATCGGAGGACAATAAAACCTGGCCAGATTTGGGACCCCCTCTTTTTTGTGTGAGGCCTGAGGCGCGGAGATGATGGCTCGGCACAGGAAAAAGTGGAGGAGGACCAGGAAAAGCAAACATTATGCGAGTGGGGGGGGGGGAATGATAGATATATGGATATACATAAATATTCAGAATGTTTAATCTCAAATGGCCCTGGGTCATTCACGCGGTAATGTACGAAGACCACTTCTCAGCCCTTGTGCATTTGCAGGCACCATCGGTATTTCCCGAAGAATTGCATTGTGGGTCTTGTGTTGTTGTTTCAAACTCATGGATTTCCGACCTACACTCATTTTTCCGATACAATGGGGTTGTTTTTTTTCTCTCTCTCTCGTCATTTACAGATTTCATGATTCGCACAGGTACTTCGTGGATGCAAACCGGACGTGCCACTCGTCGGTAAAATGTTCAAGAGCTGCAAGCGAATGGACGTGTGAAAGTTTAATAAACCGAGGGTGGCTTTCCTTTCTCTCCCAACTAACAACAAAAGGAAAATACAAAGACAAGAAAAACAATGCTGAGATGGATGTGAGGAATTTCTATGAAGGAAATTAGGCTGAATGAAGTAGTTAGAGCCTTAGGAGGGGTCACTAATATTCTGGAGAAGGCTGAGAGACTGAGAAAGTTTGGGCACATCTTTGTACAGTACATTAAATTAGATACCCATAGACTCATCCAAAGACCCATAGACTCAAAGAGACACCTATAGGCTCACACAGAGACCCATGGACTCGCAAGGAGACCCATAGACTCAAACATAGACGAACACATATTTCACCATATGGACTATAATGGCCATGGAGATGCCACTGGTGCAGGGCTGACGGAGCAGAGGGAGAGTGAGAGCGATGTGGAAGGATGTGGTGGAACAAGATGTGAGGGCCGTTGGATGTTACTGGAGAAAAGGCGCACAGTAGAATCTGGGTAAAACCTCTTAAAGTCGGACAAATATGGGGGAGAGTCTTTCCGGTTATGGGGGATGACCAGCATGCTGCAAAAACAACAACAACAACAACAACGGTAATACACACAATTATTAACGTGAAATTGCATTCACAAAGTAATTTTATGGCACGGCTTTCACGACCACCGATATTAGCGATTCGTAATCAGCGTTTGGGGGATGAGATCGTGTGTCGGTGTAATGACAATTCACAGATTTTGGCCCTCCACCACCCGACACAGCCAAATCAACCGAGCTGGCACGTGGGCGCCACGTGCCAAATGTTTTCATTTTATTTACATTTTCAGTACCTTATATTTCTGTTTTTTTTTTGTATAGCCCTTTGTCAAATCCACTGTTGGCTGAAGGCCACCCCAAACAATGCTGCGTCAGTCACGGCGGGGGGGGGGGGGGGGGTGGATTGCTTATTTGCCGGAACTTTAAACAGTTATGTTGAGAAAACAAGCTAAGATGTAAGGATTTCGTGGTTTAAAAAAAAAAATCTGCATCGTCAGGCGCTGGCAAGAGCTTGCGGGGCTCAAGTGAATGCACTTCCTGGTCATCCAAACAGCTGTGCGGATAAGCGAGATTCATGGCTTGTCAACCCACAAGGTTGACTCCGTGTTCTTGTGCAGGGAAATTGAGTTTTCAGGGCCTTACGGCGTACAACCGTTGGAATGCAGGCCACATTTTTTTGTCCATTTGTTTGTGTATCTCCCTTGTGATGGGACTTTGTAGGATGAACGTTGAGATTTATAAGGGCACGGGGCGACTAATAATGTCTGAATCGGTCTGTAATAAGGTAGGGGGCACTGATAAGGGGTTGGCAGCTATGGAGATTTAATGTCCTGTTATGACAGATCATCGCCGATTGATTGAGTGTAAGATTCAAGGTTCACAAGGATGAAGCTGTTCAATTGGTGGTGAGAATAGACTACCCTTAATCACAAAGAGGCGTTAATGTGTTCGTTATAATTGGCGGTAATTATGATCAAGTTTATGCGTTTATAAGATCGCCGGACGTTACGTCATAACGCGCAATTTATTGATGCGGTAACTCCTCGTTTGACGCGTGGTGTTCACACTGTAACGTGGTTTTCGCACAACGCAGGTGTGCCGTTATAACGCGGAACGCGTGCCGTTATAGCGCAGATTCTGAGCGGTCGACGACGAACTAGTTTTTGGAGCTGCGCGGCTGAGCGGAGCGATGCGGTAATACCGTGGCATTCTCTGGTCTCAGTTTGTCCCGCCGAGGGATGACTGCAGGCTGATGTTGTAGCGTAAATGCCATTCCGTAACTCGATAATTCCTCGCTTAACGTGGCTGTCTGTCTGGCTGTTTGGCTGTCTGTCTGGCTGGCTGTCTGGCTGTCTGTCTTTCTGTCTGTCTAGCTGTCTTTCTGTCTGTCTGGCTGTCTTTCTGTCTGTCTGGCTGTCTTTCTGTCTGTCTGTCTGGCTTTCTTTCTGGCTGTCTGGCTGTCTGCTTGGCTGGCTGTCTGTCTGTATGTCTGTCTGGCTGTCTTTCTGTCTGTCTGTCTGGCTGTCTGCTTGGCTGGCTGTCTGTCTGCCTGGCTGTCTGTCTGGTTGTCTGTCTGTCTGTCTGTATGTCTGTCTGGCTATCTGTCTGGCTGTCTGGCTGTCTGGCTGGCTGGCTGGCTGTCTGGCTGTCTATCTGATGGCTGTCTGTCTGGTTGTCTGTCTGTCTGTCTGGCTGTCTGTCTGTCTGGTTGTCTGTCTGTCTGGTTGTCTGTCTGTCTGGCTGTCTGGCTGTCTATCTGATGGCTGGCTGTCTGGCTGTTTGGCTGGATGCCTGTCTGGCTGGCGGGCTCTCTGTCTGTCTGGCTGTCTGTCTGGCTGTCTGGTTGGCTGTCTGACTGACTGCTCCTTAATGCCGGGGGGGTTGTCCACAGACCGAGCAGTGTGGATGGAACCCAAGGCCATCGTGCGGTAGTGAGATAAACTTGTCATGGAACCTTTTGAGTTCAGTGGTCCAAGCTGTGTTTGACTTTACGTGATGTCTGATTGCGTTCGATATATGTGTGTATATACCAGAGGGCAGCCTCCTCCCCCCACCTCTCTATATATTAATGCTTACCTCTCTTAGGCAATGATTTCATAATTTTCCCACGCTGCGCTCTTGCAGAACAGCAACAGAACGTTTGATTCGTTTTGCAATGCGCACAAAAGCGATTTAGATGGCGAGGGTTAACTCTCACCACCATGACGCACGTGAAGCAGAATTGCTAGCGATTTTTCGTTCCAATCACCGGGCCGACTCCTGATGCTCTCCCACGACTCCCTGCGGGTGCACAAGCACCACGAGGGGTGCCTGATGGTGCTCGCCTCCGGAGCCGCATGTCCGTGGCTCTTTACGGTGACTGCTGCTTCGTGACGTTATTCATGAAGCAAACCTGTCAACCCCTTATCGGTGCCCTGCCTTAATACAGGCCTATTCAGACCTTATTGGTCACCCCGTGGCCTTATAAATCACAACGTTCATCCTACAAATTCCCATCGCAAGCGAGATACACAAATAGACAATCACCACTACTACACTCACCACTACTACACTCACCACTACTACATTTACCACTACAAACCTGTCAACCCCTTATCGGTGCCCTGCCTTAATACAGGCCTATTCAGACGTTATTGGTCACCCCGTGGCCTTATAAATCTCAACGTTCATCCTACAAATTCCCATCGCAAGGGAGATACACAAATAGACAATCACCACTACTACACTCACCACTACTACACTCACCACTACTACACTCACCACTACTACATTCACCACTGAAAACCTGTCAACCCCTTACCAGTGCCCTACCTTGCTAGAGACCAATTCAAACATTATTGGTCACCCCGTGGCCTTATAAATCGCAACGTTCATCCTACAAAGTCCCATCACAAGGGAGAAACACAAACAAATAGACAACACGTTTGTTCTGCCCGTATCAAAACGGCTGTACGCCGTATGGACCTGAAAACTCGATTTCCCTGTACAAGAATACGGGGTAAACCGTATGGGTTGACAGGTCTGATTAAGGGACCCCCACCACCGTCTCGCATTCACCACCATGCATCGCGGCTCTTGAAATATTTAGGTTTTTTTGTTGTTAAACTGAATTCGCTAACGAATGCCCCTTCTTGTTATTTTGATTGGCGACCCCCTGCTGCTAGGCTGGCGGGTATGGTATTCGCACAGCTGTCAACCCACGCGGTTTAGCCCGTATTATTGTGCTGGGAAATTGCGTTTTCAGGTCCATACGGCGTACAGCCGTTTCAATACGGGACACATTTTTAAGCATTTCATTTTGCAATGCGCTTTATCGCTCCAGGGTTTATAATGTTGTGGTTCACGTAAGCACGCTCTTTGCTTCGAGCCCAATTGGTCGGCCAGGAGAGAGGTCGTGGAGGCACACAACGCGTTGTCTTGCTTGCACAGCTATAGACGATGGGCCTTCTGTGGATAGTTTGTTTGTGCACCTAGCTTGCAAAATGTGGGGTCTGTGTTACATTTCGTCAAAGTGGCACCTACACACACACAAAAGCAAAGATTCCATCCTCCCGTATAACCTGGGGCAAGTGCTGCTAGAGAGCACCAATTAAGGACAATACCCACGACCTTGAGATTAAAGAGTCTCATGCCCTGCCGACCGAGATATACGCACACACAACGGAATAAATATATTACGAGATTATAAGTTGTTTCATTGTTGGAATTGAATAATGGATGCCTTTAACTTTAAAGGCGAGCGATATTTACCAAAGCTTTATGGATGACCAACATCCTCCAACCGGCTGTGTTCCACTCAGTCTAATTAATCGTGAGTCCATTTGTCTCCACTTACGTAGCCAATACGTAGGCAAGGAAAAAACAACGCATGCTCTAGTGACTGTCACTTCATTGGGGCGCCGAGGTGGCTAGGAGATGTTAACTACCTCGCCTGATATGCAGGAGGTCGTGGGTTCAAATCCCGATCCCGATGCCTGCTGCTGTATATTTGGAGTTTGCATGTCTATCTCTCTCTCTCTCCCCGTGGTTGAGTGGATTTTTCTCCGGGTCCTCCAGTTTCCCCCTGCACATTTAGAATGAACGCGCATTTAAAGTGTTTAGAGCGTTTAGAGCGTTTAGAGTGTTTAGAGTATTCGGCTGCTGCAAATTTCCACATGATAAGCCACTTAATTGAGCTTCAATTTGCGGCCAGGTCGCTTCTGAAAAAGAGCAGCGTAGCTCAGTGGAGCCTTACCTGGAAAAAAATTTAAAATATTATTTTTAGTTTTTAAATAATGTGATAACATTAAATGATAACGCTAACCTCGTTAGCTTTGACATTAGCACGTCTGTTCACCGAAGTCCCAATGGACGAAACCATTAAAATACTGAATATAATCGACAAAGGCTTAATCGAAGATATCCCACTCATCAATGTGGCCACATCAGCCCACGTCACGTGATTTGTTCGGCCACGTGGGGCGACGGAGGGGTACAAAGCTCGAACCGGCATGACACGTGCACGACCTCGCACAGCAAATACTAACTGCGAACCGCGTACGAAGTTAACTTTGCAAGCAACATTTTTAATGGGCACGCAACGATGAAGTGAATCGCACTTGCAAAGAGTCACCGCTGTTTCGAGCCGCCGTACGGTTTGACTCGAGCCACTTACCGTCGGCAGACAGCAGCGGCGGAAGCCTGAGTCCTAAACCCAAGACACAGAGAGACTGATTCTCAGGGGCTTCCACGCAGAGATTATTTCTTCATGCAATGAACATGAAATAAATATAATATCGATGATTCGAGAGAGAGAGAGAGAAAGAGAGAGATGCCTCACAGAGCGCGCGGACGAGTGCAGTGTGCAGCGCACGAAGGGCAATGGGGCTACCCAATTTCATGCAGCGGACAAGTGCGCGTTTCACATGGCTGTGTAATTGCAACAACAACAACAAAGTGGCGGTGACGTCACCATCGCGCTTGCGCCAGGCTAGGTGCACATTAAGGCCACGTGAATTGTGTCGAACGCCCGCTGGCAGGAGGTCACGGGACAGACCCAGCAGGTTGCCATGGGTCGATTGACTGAGATGAACTGGCAGATGCACCACCTGTGCCCGCTCGTGTGCCAACTGTGTATACACACACACATTGTCAGTTGTACTATCATACCTGTCAACCCCTTATCGGTGCCGACCTTATTACAGACCAGTTCAGATCTTATTGGTCACCCCGCGCCCTTATGAATCTCAATGTTCATCCTACAAAGTCCCATCGCAAGGGAGAAACACAAACAAATAGACTAAAATAATTATTTGTTTTTTTTGCCCGTATTGAAACGGCTGTACGCCGTATTGGACCTGAAAACTAAATTTCCCTGCTCAATAATACGGGGTAAGCCGTGTGGGTTGACAGGTATGCACTGTTCACCTGAATCTGTATGACATTGGTCAAGGATTGCATCGGTACATTGCAGCGTTCTTCATTGCGAGGCCCGTGGGCCGCTGGCGGCCCCCTGGTGGCCTTTAGTGCGCCCCCCCCCCCCCCCCCACGACAACACACGAAGAGTGACACCACCCACCTCCATCATCATCATCGTGGTGCTGCTGTCAAACCCCCACAATGGTTTCAGACGTGCGGCGGCAACCTCACTCACACTGGCGATGTCTCCCCGGCGGAAGTGGGCCCCCCCCCCCCCTGCCCCTCTGAAAATGAGTGAAGAGCGCTGGCACGTTGCATAGTCTTAAGCGCTTATAGAATAGTTTCATTGCCAAGAGATGAGTAATTGCCCTGTGCACTACATTTCATTCTATCCCGTGCCGCCGAATTAGCAAGCGGTGTTGCGGTCGGAGGTCATTTTGGTTTACACCTGTGCCGCTATTTGTCCCTCCACCACTTTATTTAAAAATGTAACTTCGCTTACCCCGAAATCTGGCTTGAGAAATTACTCCGTGCAAATGAGCCCAATGAAATCTCGGTGACTTTTGGCTGAGACGCGACGTTTAAGCCGACGAGTCGCCCGCACAGGCATGTGGTGAGCGGACGCGTATCTGCGTAAGTCGCCCGCTTCTCCACGTCGTGGAAGAGCGTGGGAGGCTACGCTTTTTTTTGCATGGGAGTGTATGGGGTGTCTACACGCAAGGACGGTGATGAAATGGGACGAGGGAAGAGGTACAGAGAACAGAAGTTAATTGGTTGAACGGCAAATCCGAGCAGTCCACCCCATGGAGTTGAGAGTCATGGGGTGGAAGCGAATAGAAAAGCAGAGCTCCCATTCTGTGTCACACCTTGTTGTATGGGTCTGGACAGCCGGTAGGGCTGTCCAATATTACTCGGTGGCATTTGAATCGTATGGGCGGGACACCGGGGTGACGTAAGACCCCGGCTCTCGCATAAACTGCGTTGCGACGTCATCGTATGTCTGTTGCAGGCGGACGACACGGCGATCTATACTTCTCGACGAGCTCTACACGGTAATTAAAGTTTTCTTTCTTCTGCGCATTCGTCCTCGCTGCTGCGCTTGGACACGACACGGCAACAGAACGATCCGCGCCAGGCGGGTCACGGTGTTTGTGTGCGCGGTGGGACGGAGTCGCCAAAAACACACAAATTAGGTTCATTTGTTTAAGCAATCTCCGCGCCGGGGTTTTAATCACCAGGATCTCAGCGGCGGAGTTCAGGCTCGTTAAACAAACTGCTGCTCACCCCGAGCTATGAATGCTCTGACACGTGCATTGCCCTTGTACTGTTCGCCTTTTGGCGTTGTTCTCTGGTCTGACACTGGTGGTGAGACTAGGCCATAAGAAAGGCTGTCTCTGGTATAGGCCAATCATTTTCTAATACAATGCCACATATGATCAGAGCAGGGTTTGTTTGCATGTTCACCACAAGTGCCGTGTGTGGTTAACACAGTGACTTGTTTCCTTGCAGAAGGTTTCTTAGTTGGTGTTTGAACATCGGAACACCTCCCGTTGTATTGTTTATTTCGACCGCTCGGTCGAAGGCAAAAAGAAAAAGGCGAGACGAAAGGGAACGGAGAGCAAGGACGCACCTTGGCGAGGCTTCTGCGTCAGCACGTATCGGATGAGCGCCGAGTTGCCCAGCAGCCCGAGCAGCATGATGAGCCCGAAGATAGGCAGCATGATGGAGAGGATGACCCACGGCGGCGGGGAGTCCTCCATCGCAACCTTCGATTTGCACGGTGGGCTGCGTACGGTGCGAAAGAAGTTCAATTTACACACAGATGGGTGAGTGAGTGAGTGGGTGGGTGGATGAGTGGGAGAGTGGGTGAGTGAGTGGGTGAGTTGGTGGGTGGGTGAGTGGGTGGGTAAGTGGGTGGGTTGGTGGGTGGGTGAGTGAGTGAGTGGGTGGATGAGTGGGAGAGTGGGTGAGTGAGTGGGTGAGTTGGTGGGTGGGTGAGTGAGTGGGTGGGTAAGTGGGTGGGTGGGTGGATGGGCGAGTGAGTGGCTAATCATCGAACAAAGACGGCCACTGCATCGCGCGCTTTCAGATGCGCTTCCGTGGCCGTCTGGAATGCTCTTCCTTCCGATATTAGGAAGCCACTGGAGCTATACAACTTTGGAATCTAGATTTGAAGCTTTCGTGACTGCAAGAATTCATACTCTTTTGTTTTATTCGGTTAAGTCACGTAGGTAAAAAACAAACAAATTAAAATTAAATAAAAGAAAAAATTAAAACACGACGTTTCGGAGGCAACACAAGCTTCCAAGAGATGCAGCGATTTTTTGCTGTGACTGTTTCCACCTGAAGACAGAAGCTTGTGTTGCCTCCGAAACGTCGTGTTTTAATTTTTATTTATTTAATTTTAATTAGTTTTTTTTACCTACGTGACTTAACCGAATAAAACCAAAGAGTATAACTTTGGAATCGTATAGATTGAACACTAATTTCGTTAGAACTCCTTTTAGTGTTGAGTTTGTTGTCCTTCCCCCCACGCATCTCTGATTCGTACGGTTGGCTACGCACGGCGCGAAAGAAGCTCAACGTCCGTGCACGAGGCGTCGGCACGGGTTTCAAGACGTGTCACCGAGATGCAGGCCGTGCCCGCGATGCAACGATTGGCACGGTCATACTGTGAACGTGGACAAAACTCTTAAGATCCGATTTTTTAAATAAATGTATTTCTTGTATCCGCCGTCGGGGGTCACCGGGCTGTGACGATCAACTCGCTGCACTCCGAGAAACCCGGGCGGCTGACATTGCGACTCGAAACCCAGCGATCTCGCAGCAGCACCGACTGAGTGCCCTGAGATACTGATTCAAGCGAAATGTCTTGGGCGAGTGGGTGAGTGGGCTTTTTTTTTTGTCAGCCAGGGTCGATCCAATACTGGTTGAAGGTCTCCCTGCAAGCGGCCGCCACGATGCGACGATCCACCCCATCACGCCGCACACGAATTGACTCGTTTGCAACGAGCCCTTGGCGGACAATGGTTCAATCTCGTCGCCGAATTATGGACAAATCCACCGCAGTGCGATCGTGGCCACGAAAGCCAAAAGCCATGGAGAGGAAACTGCACCAAAACTCTCCACCGCCCCCCGAAGTCCTCTCCTCGTGGCTTGCAGACCTCGACATTGACATTTTAGCTCCCGGGCATTTCGCATTTTGCCATCGTTCGCAAGAATAGAATGAAGTTGCTCGGCTGTCGCCCTCTGTTATTAATCTTTGACAGCCGGCCACCATCCTCAACAGAATTCTCAACACAATCCTCGATGCAATTCTCAACGCAACTTTCAACACAATTTTTCAACGCAATTCTCAACGCAATCCTCAACACAATTCTCTCTTCACCAAACCCGCACTTTCACCAGTGTGGTCAAGTATGGTCACCCCCCCCCTTCTCCGCCCCACCGCCACGGTCCCCCCCCCCCCTCTACCCTCCACCGCGAGCGATTAATTTGATTAAATAAACAAGATAAGCCCACTTAAATTGGCACCACCGTAAAATAAACCGTAACCCACTTACTCGAATTACCCCCTAATAGTCTGCAGTAGGCGCTTCACGACGCACAGGCGGGCGGCACGCTCTGGTTAACCTGACGGCTGCATTGATCCATTGCACTTGTGATGCAAATAGCGGAAACCATTCAAAAGGAAATGCATTTAGAGCCGACTGGTTTCACGGACCACTGAGCTACGCCGCGCGCGGGACATTTAGACATTTTTTTAATGCAATACCCAAGTGTTCAATTCACCCATACGTTAATTCAGAAATGTTTTCATTACATTATTTATTCCAAGTATTGAGAATTCAATGGGTTATTAATTTGATCGGTTGTTAATTCCATTGTTTACTCGTTGAGTTGTTCATTCATTAGTTGAGTTCGTCAGTCATTACGAGAATCAGTTGTTCGCTGCATCGTTCGCGTGTAATGCAACATCCATGATGTTTTCCTTTCATTCCTATGGTTCATAATTATCATTCGTTCAGTAATTTATTTGTTCAGTCATTATTTCAGTTTACAAGTTAATTCAGTTATTACTCAAGCCGTGGTGCATTCGTTCGTTATCAATGTCGGTTCGTGTGGGAAGTGATGAACGCGCTGGGCACTAAACCATACCGTGCGCTTGTAATTGAAACGTTCGTCACGTGAGATCCAGACGTGTCGAGGGGCAGATAAGTGCGCTTTTTTCCCTTTACAAATCAATAGTTTAAGTTGTGATACAAACGTGAAACTTGCGAGACGTCGGGTATTCACATCGGTGGAATTTTTTTTTTTAGAAAGAAATAACAACCCAGTTAGGCACTTGAAATAACAAGTTGTGAGCCATTTTCAAGGCTGGCCATCGCCGATTTGTCCACGTTTGGAGTATTTAAGCGTGGGTTTCTGTGAGTTCAGCGTCACGAGCGTGCAGCAACCGATTTCACATGACCCAACTCACTTTGCAGGTTGTTTGTCTGCATCGTTTGAAGACAACGCAAGAGAGACGAACACCTGCCACGCGCCCACTGCTTTACTCGACGGAGACACCTTTGATGCCCCTTCACGTGTATATATGTAAACATGAAAAAAATATATAATGTTATATATAATGTTATATTTATATATGAAATTGCTGGGCGCAATTTGCGCGGCGCCCCAAGGGTGCATATGAGCCGAAGATCAGCCGAGGCGAGGCCGAACCCTGCGCGCGCGACGAACCTCCTGACGGTGCCGCGTGACGCGTGCCGCGTGACGCGTGCCGCGTGACGCGTGACGCGTGCCGCCTGGCGCGTGCCGCGTGACGCGTGCCGCGTGACACGTGCCGCCTGGCGCGTGACACGTGCCGCGTGACGCGTGCCGCCTGGCGCGTGCCGCGTGACGCGTGCCACGTGACGCGTGCCGCCTGGCGCGTGACACGTGCCGCCTGGCGCGTGACACGTGCCGCGTGACACGTGCCGCGTGACACGTGCCGCCTGGCGCGTGCCGCGTGCCGCGTGCCGCCTGGCGGACAAGGCGCGTGCCGCCTGACGGGGCGTGTGCCGACGCGTAAAGGGCAAAGGTGCAGCCCTGCAATTTCACTTTCTTTGTGCCACCGCTTACTGAGGCGGACAGGCCTCTGGAGCAGCGCTGTTCACGCATTTTCACGGGTGGAGGGGGGGGGGGGGGAGCGCTTTCGCCAATAGGACATCGTCAGTGTGAGTGAGGCTGCCACCACGTATTTAAAACCATTTCGGGGTTTGACAGCAGCAGCACGACGACGATGATGATGATGACGATGGTGGTGGTGTTTTCAATCTTTGTGTGTTGTAGAGGGGCGCGCGTCAGGGGCCCCACTAAAGGCCACCAGAAACCGGCCAGACGTCTTGGAAGACGAGGAACTGCCCACATTCCCCCTCCCACCCCACCGCATGCACGACCTCAATTGACTCACTGCGGTGTGCGCGTTTTGCCCTGCCAGGTGGAGAGGCTGGTGGTGATGGGGAGAGCGGGCGGGGAGGGCGATGAGACTCAAGAAACCTGCACACCACCATCGTGTCAACTGCCGCGCACGGAAGCCAAATTAAACGCGGCGACCTCTGCGTTGTGTGTGCAGCGCGCGAACCACTCGGTCCGGCCAGCATTCGTAAAGAACAGCGTGCAACATTGATTTGCAAATCCCATGCGTGCACGAGTGCGCGCGGACTTTCACGGGCTAGGCGAAGTGCATTCAATTATACCCAAGGGGCTCACGCGCGTGAGTGCGGGCACGCTCGCAACACTGTATTTTAAAGAACACGCAACAACATTTAGAAAGCAACACACAATCACGGCTCACGCCACTGGAATTCGGTTCAGAAAAAAGCGCGCGCCATAAGCGCGTGCTGCCCAATAAAGTGTCCAAGCGCCTTGGATAAATGTGCAAAGTAAACATATGTGAGATAAGAGGAGCAAACCTCGCTGAGCCTCAAGACCTCTCTCTCTCTCTCTCAGTCGGGTCCTGTTTGACCAATACCATTACCAACACCGCGAGTGTTTGGCCAATACTATTGCCATTACCAAAACGATTAGTGTTTGGCCAACACCATTAGCATTACCAACACCGTGACTGTTTGGCCAATCCCAAGAGTGTGGCCTCGTGTGGGATGAGACGGTAGGTGACGACACTTCACTACATCATCACCATAAGGGCAGGTTGCAGACCAACACGCTAGGAGTGGGGTGGCAATGCCAACATTTAATATTTTTGTTAATAGGGCCCAACATTAACTTGAATTTAAATTAATTCTACGTAGTTTCATACAATACCATTTCTTGGGATCTTGAGGGGGCGCGGGGGGGGGGGGGTGTTGGGGCAATTGCCCCCATCGCTGCCCCCCCCCCATTGGATGTGCCACTGGGTGGAATAGAAGTCCACTTCCTGTTTTAAATCACCCGCGGCTCGTCGATGTTAGCCGTGTCCTGGAAACTTAAACCAGGTCACCGGGTCGACAGCGCAATACACTGACCACGATGCCACTGCTCCTATATAACTTTAATTAAAATATCAATGAATTATACAATGCATGCACAGCATGTATCATCATTAGCAGCAGTCATGCTCAACTCACGAAGCTCACGGTCCACCCTAAGCCGCATCAACCGCACAAACCCGTGGCACAGTAGATGCGGATACTCCGATGCACAATTAATGGAAAATTAAAAACTCTCCGATTGTGTGCGGACTTTGGACTTCCAGAACAGACCGGTGCGGTGTATAACGACGAAGCGGTGACCCCCCCCGGTCCACAAATACGAAGGAGACATCGCAGCGAATGGCATCGGCCAAACACTCCGCGTGCCATTCCCCTGGCTGTAGCGCTTTGTTGGCTTGTTCATCGTTGCCCCCGCACTCTCGTGCCGAGTCAAGACTCTCCACCCGCCCCCCCCCACCCGACACGAGTCACGTGCGCCGATTGCTGTGCCCAGCGGTCGGCTAACCACAACGATCACCACTAATTGGTGGTGACGTCACCTCGGCGCTTGTGCCATGCTAGGTGGACGTTGAGGAAAAGTGTCGAAGGCCCGTTGGCAGGAGGTCACTGAACAGGCGCAGGTGCCATGGGTTGACGGACTGAGATGCCTGGCAGAGGCAGCACCTGTGGCCACTACTGTGCCAACTTGCCGAGTTTTATCCGCCCGGCGCTCTGCTCGTTGTTGTGAGCGTCGCTTCTCTGCCCTCCGTTGTTGCTGGGATGCGACTGCCTCCAACTCCCCCAAACAAATACACACACACACACTCCACATCATGTTTAATAATAATAATGTCGAGTTTTATATCGCATCGTCCTTCATTGGAATCGCATCTCACAATCGCCGAGCACCGACAAACACGCTGGTTAGGAAGCAGCAGCAGCCAGGCTGGCAGGCGGGCGAGCCGGCGCTACTTTTCCTTTGCTCGAGCTCTGCAGTCCTCCATGTATTAAGATGTTTTTAAACCAACGAACGAGCGTTTGCACGTGCACAAAACAAACCGACGATCGTGCCATTTTCATCAGATTATGCTTGGGTGTGTAAAACTGAACGAGGCCGCGTGACGTGCCAACCAATCAAACGTGGAATGTTGCGGGGGGGGGGGAGGAGCGTTTTAAACCGCATGTCAACGTTGGCCCGACGTTTGCCCAACGTTGCACGTCTACTGAGAAACCACGTGGGGCGACGACTGCGAAGGCTGAAATTAAACCAGATGGAGGTGAACGCGTAGGGATCAGAAGTGAAGAAAATGGAACGTCGGTGTTAGACTGGGTGCCAGAGAGAGAGAGAGAAGGGGGGCACGGAGAATATCGGAGGAGGTTCACAAGTTAGAGACCTTTGTCACTAGTTAGAGACCTTTGTTACTAGTTAGAGACCTTTGTCACTAGTTAGAGAGCATTGTCACTAGTTAGAGATCTTTGTTACTAGTTAGAGGCCATCATCACTAGTTATAGGTCATCATCACTAGTTAAAAACCATTGTCACTAGTTAGAGATCATCATCACTAGTTAGAGACCATCATCACTAGTTAGAGACCATCATCATTAGTTAGAGGTCATCATCACTAGTTAGAAACCATTGTCGCAAGTTGGAGACCATCGTCACAAGTTGGAGACCATCGTCACTAGTTAGAGACCATCATCATTAGTTAGAGATCATCATCACTAGTTAGAAACCATCGTCACAAGTTTGAGACCATCATCTTGACTGTCGAGATGACTGAGTGACGGAGTGGCAGCCGAAGAATGGGAAAGTCCTGGGGATGACGTCCACGCTGGAGGCGTTCAGCGATGAAATCGGCGTTGGAGGGGCCGAGAGAGACGGCTTGGTAGTGGTGGTGGTGGGGGGTGGGAGTGCTTCCGCCTTCATCGATCAGTGGATCGATCGTTGGGCACGATGCAGGCGACACGAGGCGAGGGCGCGTGAAGCGAAGGGCAGGCGCCGTTCCGCCGGGCGCGTGCGGTGCATAACGTGGCAACGACAGACGGTGACCATTTGTCGGCTTCCGATGATCGAGCCGAGACCGCGCGACCAAACCCCGGCGAGCCGAGTAAAATCTGTGGCCAACCGCACCACCGCCCACCCCCCAACATCGTCAGCGTGAGCCTTCATCTCGCAGCGGGTAGGATAGAAATAAATAATTATTCGTGTGTTCGATGCCACCTGATACGAAGCAATAATATAGCATTTAAAATAATCACCGATGATCCCCCCGTGTATGGCCTCCCTGCGGATACATCGCCGCACGTTCCTACGTGACAGCGGCGCGGAATCGTTCACCCGTAAAGCAATTAGCGCCACGTGACCGCGCCAAGCCTCGAAAATGCCCGCAGATAATTAGCGTGGCGCTTAACCCGTCGATGCAAAGACAGTCCGAGTGATGTTCTGCTCAAAGGAGCATTGACGCGATGCTCATCTCCCGCTTACCACCCCAATCAACGGTGGACATTCCGCATTCATATGGCGGGGGCGGGGGGGGGGGGCGAGGTTGTCCATTAGAAATGCTGTCAATTTCCGCCAAGAAAAAAAAACTCAAACAAAATTGGTACTCGATTTATCGACCGCGGAGTGATGATGGGAACTCGCAACCATCCGAGTGTGAGCCGCTCAGCCTCTGTCTGCCGCCGAGCCACTTGACCTGGTCCCACCGTGAATAAGCCAAACACATTTCACGGGCGTTGTGGACATTTGGTAACGAGACACCGACGCCTGCTGAACGAGGCGAATGTTTCCCCCCCCCCCCCCATCAACAGCAAAACTCTCAGCCGAGTGGCAGCCCGAGTCCAACGGCAGCGGTGGGCGTTGTGGAACGATGCGTGGCAAAGAGCGATTAACACATCGTGGAACAGCCGAGGGTCTGACTCGACCATTTGAAAAACAAATAACATTCGAATCATTTGCAAACATCTCCCCGGCGCCTCTGGCTGCCTAGAAGTTTAAATTATGGGTCGCGCAAGTGGCTGGTTGATTCGGCAGGTTGCGTGTGGTGGGGGTAAAGTTTGGGTAACTCACAGCTCTTCCGAGACGCCTGGCCAGCGTGCAAGAGTAGGCCAAGTGCCCTCCTAGAGGGGCTCTTGAGGGCTCGATCGAGTGGAAACCCCTTCTGCCAGCAGTGGCGGCGAGAAGTATCTGCAGGGTTGCACGTACACTTATGAGTTCATCAGATTACTGGCCTTGAGAGGCCAAACTATGAACTGGTGTCGACTGTCTGGGGGGGGGGGGGGGGGGGGGGGGGTTCATCATCATCCCTTCTGTATTTGTGTTGCTCAGAGTCACTGTCAGAATGAAAAATGAGGGCCCAAAGTTTTCCGTTACTGCACCCCTGGCTAACTTTAACTCACGGCTGTAACCGATATTTAACTATTTACGCTTGCTTATATTTCAGGGTGCTCGTTCACCAGTAAGTTTAAAAACAAATTGAGGCGAGAAAAGTGAGTGTGCTCGGGCAGCATACGTCGCTAGAAGGGACCGGTTGTGGCCCCTGGTCAGGAGAGAGACACCGCAAACTCCGAATATACAGTAGCAGGCGTCAGTGTCGGGCTTGATCCCACGACCTCTTGTATCCCAGACGAGGTAGTTATCATCTCTGCATACATACATACATACAAACACGTATTTGATTACAACGGTTGGCTACATACGGTGCGAAAGAAGTTCAACATACATACACGGTTTTATATAAATATATAAATTGTTCTCCCCCCCCCCCCAACATCATGAATAACTGAAATGAATAATGTACATTTTAGAGGTCAAATAAGCGTGCAAGATGGCTTTAGAGCAATGTCTCACCGCTCACTTCAACGGGATAAGAATACAAATACGACAAGAGCACATTTTATTTTTTTAATATTCCCACCGGCATCTCCGGATCGGACTCTATTAAAGTCTAACGAATATAAAGTGCTACTTTTGCCGGATCTTTGTAGACGATGAAAAGCCATTTGAGGCGGCGGAAATTGACTCACTCGTTTTCGTGGCTTGAATAAAAAAAAACCACACAGACACGGCGATAGGTATTTTGAAAGCCATTGGAATAACGATAGGACGGCCGCGACTGAGACTGCACGTGAAAAGTAATAACGCAAATACGAAGACCAGCTATGCTGAAGAATGGTCAAATAACTTCCCCTCCACTATCCGGGCGGTGCACAGAGTGTAGTCCCGTTCTCCTTTAACGTCGCGTGATTTTTGTGTGTGTGTGTGTGATGAATAACACGACGATGAATGTATTCGGGAAACACATTTCGGTTTTCATAACGCGGACGCGAATTGGATATAACGCGATCGAGTGAACTGAACTGCGTGGCGTGAGTAGGAATAAGCGGCCGTACAGTGAGGGGAAAAAAGTATTTGATCCCCTGCTGATTTTTTTACGTTTGCCCACTGACGAAGAAATGATCAGTCTATAATTTTAATGGTAGGTTTATTTGAACAGTGAGATTTGCATTTTAATGAGGGAAATAAGTATTTGACCCCCTCTCAATAAGAAAGATTTCTGGCTCCCAGGTGTCGTTTATACAGGTAACGAGCTGAGATTAGGAGCACACTCTTAAAGGGAGTGCTCCTAATCTCAGCTTGTTACCTGTATAAAAGACATCTGTCCACAGAAGCAATCAATCAATCAGATTCCAAACTCTCCACCATGGCCAAGACCAAAGAGCTCTCCAAGGATGTCAGGGACAAGATTGTAGACCTACACAAGGCTGGAATGCGCTACAAGACCATTGCCAAGCAGCTTGGTGAGAAGGTGACAACAGTTGGTGCGATTATTCGCAAATGGAAGAAACACAAAATAACTGTCAATCTCCCTCGGCCTGGAGCTCCATGCAAGATCTCACCTCGTGGAGTTGCAATTATCATGAGAACGGTGAGGAATCAGCCCAGAACTACACGGGAGGATCTTGTCAATGATTTCAAGGCAGCTGGGACCATAGTCACCAAGAAAACAATTGGCAACACACTACGCCATGAAGGACTGAAATCCTGCAGCGCACGCAAGGTCCCCCTGCTCAAGAAAGCACATATACATGCCAGTCTGAAGTTTGCCAATGAATATCTGAATGATTCAGAGGACAACTGGGTGAAAGTGCTGTGGTCAGATGAGACCAAAATGGAGCTCTTTGGCATCAACTCAACTCGCCGTGTTTGGAGGAGGAGGAATGCTGCCTATGACCCCAAGAACACCATCCCCACCGTCAAACATGGAGGTGGAGACATTATGCTTTGGGGGTGTTTTTCTGCTAAGGGGACAGGACAACTTCACCGCATCAAAGGGACAATGGACGGGGCCATGTACCGTCAAATCTTGGGTGAGAACCTCCTTCCCTCAGCCAGGGCATTGAAAATGGGTCGTGGATGGGTATTCCAGCATGACAATGACCCAAAACACACGGCCAAGGCAATAAAGGAGTGGCTCAAGAAGAAGCACATTAAGGTCATGGAGTGGCCTAGCCAGTCTCCAGACCTTAATCCCATAGAAGATCTGTGGAGAGAGCTGAAGGTTCGAGTTGCCAAACGTCAGCCTCGAAACCTTAATGACTTGGAGAAGATCTGCAAAGAGGAGTGGGACAAAATCCCTCCTGAGATGTGTGCAAACCTGGTGGCCAACTACAAGAAACGTCTGACCTCTGTGATTGCCAACAAAGGTTTTGCCTTGTTGACGCCATCCAGACTGCCACTCTACGCCCAACCTTATGGAAGAGGTACGTGGATGACACTTTTGTCATCTGGCCACATGGCCGGCCTGCTCTAGACCAATTCTTCGACCACATCAATTGCATACACCCAGCCATCAGATTTACCATGGAAGTCGAAAAAGATGGCAAGCTACCTTTTTTGGATGTCCTAATAAAGAAGAGATCTGATGGTTCAATGAGCCACTCTGTCTACAGGAAAGCTACCTATACGGATGCTTACCTGAAACCGGATTCCCACCACAATCCATCCCAGAAAATTCCCTCATTAAGACTCTGCACCATAGAGCCCAATGCATATCCGACCAGGAACACATAGCCAGTGAACTCAAGCATGTACACCAAGCTCTTAAGGCTAATAGTTACTCCGACTACACAATCCGAAAAGCTGTCACTCCAACCATGAATAAGGACCCTCTTGAGGAGCCTTTCAAAACCATCACTTTACCCTACATTGCGGGGATCATAAAAAAGATCTCCAAAATCTTGAATAAACACAAGATCCAGGTCCGATTCAACACACCACATAAAATCCGTGATCTGGTTCCGTCTGTGAAATATGTGATTCCGGACATACAGTACCCTGGCGTCTACAAACTAAGTTGCCTCTGTGGTAGTAGTTACATTGGAGAAACCAAACGACATGTCTCGGACCGCATTCGTGAACACAAAGCAGACCTAAAACACGGTAGGACCAACACCTCGGCCGTAGTAGATCACTGTTATAATTCAGTATGCTCACATGACATCGAATTCTCCAAGACAGAGGTTCTTTGCAAGCCATCTGGCTACCATGAGAGATTCGTTCATGAGGCTATCCACATATACAAACACAGAGACAATTTCAACTGAGAAGATGGATTTTAGCTTAGCAATCATTGGAAGGATTTGATAAACCATTTCGGGTCTTAATTGCTTTTTCACGCTTACGGTGGCTTTCAGACCGCATCCATTATTTTTCGTCTCCCCCCTCCTCTTTTCCAAACATAGATGGACTCGTCCATCTGAACAATCTGCCAAAATCGCTCTCCGTGGTGCTAACGTAAAAAAACGCCACTTTTTTGAAATTTCTTGCTGTGGTTTTCACACCTGATGATGATTGCTTGTGTTGCAGTCGAAACGTCGCGAGAATTTTATTGTTTTATATTTTTATTATTTTATTGTTTCCCTTCTACGTGACTTTACCGAAAGAACAAAGAATAAGGGTTTTGCCACCAAGTACTAAGTCATGTTTTGCATAGGGGTCAAATACTTATTTCCTTCATTAAAATGCCAATCAATTTATAACATTTTTGACATGCGTTTTTCTGGATTTTTTTGTTGTTATTCTGTCTCTCACTGTTCAAATAAACCTACCATTAAATTTATAGACTGATCATTTCTTTGTCAGTGGGCAAACGTACAAAATCAGCAGGGGATCAAATACTTTTTTCCCTCACTGTACGGCTGCCTCGGCGTAGCGTGATCATCACACGAGGTGGCGGGATTCTGCTGGATGCTTCTACATGCTACCCACGCGCCTTAGTCTTTGTTCGGACTGCGTAAGCATCTCACGCGTTATCGCGGACTCTGCTTTACCCCCTATATTATTTATTATTTATAACAACGCGATTTTACCATCACGCGGTGCTCGTCGGGAACGCAACTACCCACCGCGTTATAGGAGGACAGTAACCTCATCCAGCCACGTCACGTTAGGTGTTGCTTGACCATACTTCACCACGCTGGTCAGTGCCAGTTTGTGGAGGGGTAAGAGCTGGAGGAGTGGGGCGGGGGGGGGTGGAGAGCCATGTCAATGTCAGCCATCACTCGCTAATGATGCTAACCGTGGCCAGGAATGGAACTTATTCTCTTCCTGCGGTTTAGACAGCGCGGTGCGCTAACCACTGCGCCACACAGGGCCATCTCATGGGGGGGCGGGGGGGGTCTGCGGGCCCTGGGGGCAAACACCGCCGTGTAGGCCACCCCGACGCCTTCCCACCAAAGCACGGGGCCCGGGCCAGTCTCCCCGACTCGCCGTGTAACCCTAAGGCGCGACTTTAAATAAATATAGACACAACGCGTTCTACTTAATTAAATAGACTTTTTCACAAATGTTTTCTCCTACAACATCAGAGTGCAGCGCCGCGTGAAATGCGCACTACTACAATGACAACAATAGTTTAAAGCGATTTGAAGCATCTTTTATTTTGTTGTGGGGGTCGGGGCAGAGCTTTGTGACGTCATATTTGAGGCGGGGGGGGGGGGTCTGACTTTGACGACCGAACTCTTGGGACGTGACCGCCTGGGTGACCGCTGGGTCGGGAGGGAGTGCGCGGGTTGGTAGCGGTGGGGGGGGGGGGCATGGGGGTGCCACCCACGTGAGAGTTGCGGCGGGGGGGGGGGGAGCAGCACAAGTCTGGGGGGGGGGGGGGTGCGTGGCGGTGGTGGGCGGAGCGTCGTTTTATGACGGGCACTTGTACGGGCACTTGTTGCTGACTCTGCCCCACTGCGTTGTACAACGCAGCAGCTGAGCACTCTTGACACGCACGAGCGGTGTGTCAGTGTGTGTGTGTGTGCAGCGTTTGTGTGTGTGTGCAGCGTCTGTGTGTGTGTGCAGCGTCTGTGTGTGTGTCAGTGTGTGTGCGTGCAGCGTCTGTGTTTGTGTGTGCAGCGTCTGTGTGTGTGTGTAGCGTCTGTGTGTGTGCAGCGTCTGTGTGTGTGTGTGCAGCGTTTGTGTGTGTGTCAGTGTGTGTGCAGCGTCTGTGTTTGTGCAGCTTCTGTGTGTGTGTGTGCAGCTTCTGTGTGTGTGTGCAGCGTCTGTGTGTGTGTGTGCAGCGTTTGTGTGTGTGTCAGTGTGTGTGCGTGCAGCGTCTGTGTTTGTGCAGCTTCTGTGTGTGTGTGTGCAGCTTCTGTGTGTGAGTGCAGCGTCTGTGTGTGTGTGCAGCGTCTGTGTGTGTGTCAGTGGGTGTGCGTGCAGTGTGTGTGTGTGTGCAGCGTCTGTGTTTGTGCAGCTTCTGTGTGTGTGTGCAGCTTCTGTGTGTGTGTGCAGCGTCTGTGTTGTGCAGCTTCTGTGTGTGTGCAGCTTCTGTGTGTGTGTGCAACGTCTGTGTGTGTGTGCAGCGTCTGTGTGTGTGTGTGCAGCGTCTGTGTGTGTGTGTGCAGCGTCTGTGTTGTGCAGCTTCTGTGTGTGTGTGCAGCTTCTGTGTGTGTGTGCAGCGTCTGTGTGTGTGTGTGCAGCGTCTGTGTGTGTGTGTGCAGCGTCTGTGTGTGTGTGTGCAGCGTCTGTGTTGTGCAGCTTCTGTGTGTGTGTGCAGCTTCTGTGTGTGTGTGCAGCGTCTGTGTTGTGCAGCTTCTGTGTGTGTGCAGCTTCTGTGTGTGTGTGCAACGTCTGTGTGTGTGTGTGCAGCGTCTGTGTGTGTGTGTGCAGCGTCTGTGTGTGTGTGTGCAGCGTCTGTGTTGTGCAGCTTCTGTGTGTGTGTGCAGCTTCTGTGTGTGTGTGCAGCGTCTGTGTGTGTGTGTGCAGCGTCTGTGTGTGTGTGTGCAGCGTCTGTGTGTGTGTGTGCAGCGTCTGTGTTGTGCAGCTTCTGTGTGTGTGCAGCTTCTGTGTGTGTGCAGCGTCTGTGTGTGTGTGTGCAGAGTTTGTGTGTGTGTGTGCAGCGTTTGTGTGTGTGTCAGTGTGTGTGTGTGTGCGTGCAGCGTCTGTGTGTGTGTCAGTGTGCAGCGTCTGTGTGTGTGCAGCGTCTGTGTGTGTGCAGCGTCTGTGTGTGTACGTGCAGCGTCTGTGTGTGTACGTGCAGCGTCTGTGTGTGTGCAGCGTCTCTGTGTGTATGTGTAGCGTCCGTGTGTGTGTGCAGCGTTTGTGTGTGTGTGTGCAGCGTCTCTGTCTGTGTGTGTGCAGCGTTTGTGTGTGTGTGTGCAGCGTCTCTGTCTGTGTGTGTGTGTGAGTGCAGCGTCCGTGTGTGGGTGCAGCGTCTGTGTGTGTATGTGTAGCGTCTCTGTGTGTGTGCAGCGTCTGTGTGTGTATGTGTAGCGTCTGTGTGTGTGTGCAGCGTCTGTGTGTGTGTGCAGCGTCTGTGTGTGTGTGCAGCGTCTGTGTGTGTGTGCAGCGTCTGTGTGTGTGTGCAGCGTCTGTGTGTATGTGTAGCGTCTGTGTGTGTGGTAGCGGTCAGCCCCGCTGACCGTCCCGCTACGAGCCACTCGGCCACCCAAGTTCAATTCCCACTCACGGCCAACACCGGTGACGATTATCTGAACCGGGCATGGGCCTCCCCTAGGTCGACTCAGCCTCAAATGAGTACCTGGTGCGCTGTGTAAAACATCGCCACTGGGAAGACAAAGGCGGCCGGGCGTGGTGCTGGCCACCCACCCGCTCGTGTGCCGTGCCGGCCCTTCATAGGTGCTACTTGCTAACAGCACTTGCCCCAACAATCTGCTAAGGCTATACGGGTGATCTTTGTCTTTGTGCGCGTGTGCACGGGGAGCGGGAGCGGAGCTGTTAGCGCGCTGCGCTCCGGACCCGGCCACCCGAGTTCGATTCCCGCTCATGGCCAAACACCTGAATCGCTCCTGGGTCTCCCCTAGGTCGACTCAGCCTCGAATTAGTAGTGCCTGGTGCGGTGTGTCAAACATCGTCACTGGGAAGACAAAGGCGGCCGGGCGTGGTGTTGACCACCCACACCCCCACGTGTACCGCTCCGGCCTTCATAGGTGCTATTCGCGAACGGCACTTGCCCCAGCAGTCTGTACGGGTACCTTTATCTCTGCGAGGGGCTATAACGGAGGTGCTATCGGCTCGGCGATTGAACAGCTCGCCGTACAACGGGCTCAGTTGATTTGCTCCATCTCTCCCGCGTTCAATTTGCCTAACCGCTGCCGTCACTCACCATTCTGACACAACGTGCTTTGTATACGACGCATTCACGTGTGCGCGTTGTACAAAGACAAAGATCCCCCGTATAGCCTTAACAGACTGTAGGGGCAAGTGCTGTTAGCGAGCACCTACACGTACCCTGGACACACACACACACACACGTGTGTGCACCCTGCGCGTTGTGGGTGAGTAACTGGAACACGCTCTGCTACGCCGTCCGAACACAGGACCCGGTACAGATATCACTCGCCGCTGATGTTAGCCGTGACACTGAACTCTAATCGCCGGGGTTAGCAGCTCGGTGAGCTGACCACTGCGCCACCGCTCCATCGACTTCGGATTATATCGTCAATGAGCATTCAGCGTTACGAGAAAACACGTCAGTTTTTGAATATCGATTGTAATGAATACCGTAGCGCAAACGTGTCGTCTCGTTATGTTACCTCGCACGAACCCACTCTCCTGCAGTACACAACAGTTGACACAACAGTCGACACAACAGTAGACACAACAGTAGACACAACAGTCGACACAACAGTAGACACAACAGGCACACGAACGAAGGTGTTGATAACTTACCCCAACGCAGCCACGAAGCGCAGTGACAGAGTCGGATGCTGAGTGTCTTGAAGCACCCTAAACCACCTGATATGTCCCACGTCTCCCTCCTCTATGTGTCTCTCACCCCTGCCTCTCGTCTCCCTCTATCTCACCTATCTCTCTGTCTCTCACCACTCTCTCTGTCTGTCACCACTCTCTCTGTCTCTCACCACTCTCTGTCTCTCACCACTCTCTGTCTCTCACCACTCTCTGTCTCTCACCACTCTCTCTCTCTGTCTCTCACCACTCTCTCTCTGTCTGTCACCACTCTCTCTGTCTCTCACCATTCTCTGTCTCTCACCACTCTCTCTCTCTGTCTCTCACCACTCTCTCTCTGTCTGTCACCACTCTCTCTGTCTCTTACCATTCTCTGTCTCTCACCACTCTCTCTCTCTGTCTCTCACCACTCTCTGTCTTTCACCACTCTCTCTCTCTCTGTCTCTCACCACTCTCTCTCTCTGTCTGTCACCACTCTCTCTGTCTCTCACCACTCTCTGTCTCTCACCACTCTCTCTGTCTCTCACCACTCTCTGTCTCTCACCACTCTCTCTCTCTCTGTCTCTCACCACTCTCTCTCTCTGTCTGTCACCACTCTCTCTGTCTCTCACCACTCTCTGTCTCTCACCACTCTCTCTCTCTCTCTGTCTCTCACCACTCTCTCTCTCTGTCTGTCACCACTCTCTCTGTCTCTCACCACTCTCTGTCTCTCACCACTCTCTCTGTCTCTCACCACTCTCTGTCTCTCACCACTCTCTCTGTCTCTCACCACTCTCTCTCTCTCACCACTCTCTCTGTCTCTCACCACTCTCTGTCTCTCACCACTCTCTCTGTCTCTCACCACTCTCTCTGTCTCTCACCACTCTCTCTGTCTCTCACCACTCTCTCTGTCTCTCACCACTCTCTCTGTCTCTCACCACTATCTCTCTCTGTCTCTCACCACTCTCTCTGTCTCTCACCACTTTCTCTCTGTCTCTCACCACTCTCTCTGTCTCTCACCACTCTCTCTGTCTTTCACCACTCTCTGTCTCTCACCACTCTCTCTCTCTGTCTGTCACCACTCTCTCTGTTTCTCACCACTCTCTGTCTCTCACCACTCTCTCTCTGTCTCTCACCACTCTCTCTGTCTCTCACCACTCTCTCTGTCTCTCACCACTCTCTGTCTCTCACCACTCTCTGTCTCTCACCACTCTCTGTCTCTCACCACTATCTCTCTCTGTCTCTCACCACTCTCTCTCTGTCTCTCACCACTCTCTCTGTCTCTCACCACTCTCTGTCTCTCACCACTCTCTCTGTCTCTCACCACTCTCTGTCTCTCACCACTCTCTGTCTCTCACCACTCTCTCTGTCTCTCACCACTTTCTCTCTGTCTCTCACCACTCTCTCTGTCTCTCACCACTCTCTCTGTCTTTCACCACTCTCTGTCTCTCACCACTCTCTCTCTCTGTCTGTCACCACTCTCTCTGTCTCTCACCACTCTCTGTCTCTCACCACTCTCTCTCTGTCTCTCACCACTCCCTCTGTCTCTCACCACTCTCTCTGTCTCTCACCACTCTCTGTCTCTCACCACTATCTCTCTCTGTCTCTCACCACTCTCTCTGTCTCTCACCACTCTCTCTCTGTCTCTCACCACTATCTCCGTCTCTGTCTCTCACCACTCTCTATCTCTCACCACTCTCTGTCTCTCACCACTCTCTCTCTCTCTGTCTGTCACCACTCTCTCTCTCTGTCTGTCACCACTCTCTCTGTCTCTCACCACTCTCTCTCTGTCTCTCACCACTCTCTCTCTGCCTGTCACCACTCTCTCTGTCTCTCACTCCTCTCTCTCTCTGTCTCTGTGTGTGTGTGTCTGACAGAGGTGTATCGCCCCTTATATGCTCCCCCACCGTTCTCTATTCATTGACACAAACGAGCGGGACTACGACGGCCGTCACGCGCACGCAGCTCCGAGGCCGGGAGCCGCTGGGAGGGGTCGCAGTTTGGTACGCCGAGGGGTGTGAGAGGCTGGAGAGGGGAGGGGGAGAAAGGGGGGTGGAGAGGGGGGGGGAGGAAGGGGGTGGAGAGGGGGGGAGAAGGGGGGTGGAGAGGGGGGGGGAGAGAGGGGGGTGGAGAGAGGGGGGGTAGAGAGGGGGGGGATCCGCGCGTGCCGACAAAGCTGACACCCACAATACCCACCCAGCATCCCACCCACGCACCCACCCGCACCATAGCCCCCCCGCGACCCCATCCACTCCCACCCACAGTCCCGCCCGCCCCCCCCCCCCCCACCACAACCTCCCCCATTCAAAAACATTCTAAACGTGTAGCCAACGTCACCGCGTCTCCTTACTTCGTGCCCCTGCGTAGCTTGCCTTCGATTTCGCGAGTCGCGTTCGGCGAATGACCGCAAATATACCAACGAACAACCACGCGGACACCACCTTCAGCACGGGAGTCACGACGAGAAACACCTCTAGTCTGACCCTAACACCTGGCGCTCAAGTATCATGAGTTAACAACGAGCCCCTACAAAAACAAAACACTTTGTTACGCTCTCCACGAGACCTCAGACGCGACAACGCTCAACGCGAAGAACTCGAGCCGGCTTTGCAGTTCCTGGGCTTCTCGCGAGCCACGGCGCGTTGACACCGAAGTGGAGAGATTCCTCTGTCTCTGTCTCTCTCTCTCAAGCTATCGTGGGGTGGTGGCACTGCCGGGTTATCCTCGTAGCATAAGTAGCTACATGTGTAGTAGCTACATGTGTAGTAGCTACATGTAGTAGCTACTACACATGTAGTACATATGTAGCTACTACATACATAGTAGTAGTGCTACATATGTTGTAGTCTACGGGCCCCGCACTTTCAAGGGCCCCGCGCTAAATGTTTTCAAGCTATCAATTCCGGTTCAGTGATTCTGCACTCGTGTTATCTGCCGTATAGCAAATGGAAAAAATACAATTAATTTACAACGCAAGTAAAAAATGTGTGTTTTTATATTTATGTGTTTTTTTTAGGGCCCCCTCTATAACATATGCTACAGGCCCCGCACTAGCTTAATCCGGCCCTGCGTGGTGGCACCCCCAGCGACCGGCCCACTAAACCTCGCGTCCCCCATCTCCTGGCTCAGTGTTCTCTTCACGGGGAGGCCACTTTCCCCGACGAGACATCGTCAGTGTGTGTGTGTGTGTGACGGCCGCCGTGCGTTTGAAACCGTTGTGGGGTTTGACAGCAGCACGCTGATGACGATGACGACGGGGAGTGTATTCACTCTTTGTGCGTTATCGGGGGGCCGCGCACGTGCGTCTGGGGCCGCACTAAAGGCCACCAGGGGCCGCACTAAAGGTCACGCATGAGGCGCCAGTGACCCCGCGGGGCCTTTGCAATGAAGAAGGCTGCTCGATCTCACGAAACGTGCCGTGCTTGCCAGATTTTCCTCCCCTCCCATTATTAAACCCCCCCCCTCCTCCTCCTCCGCGCCCCACTACTCCCTCCTCCATAACTGCCTCATGAACGAGCCCGAGGAATTTCGAATTCCAAATGATCGTAGCAGCTGCTGCTGCTGCTGCGAACAAATCGTTGACTTCAACACCTCCGTTGAAGGTGATTTCCAGCGAGGACAAAAAACCATTGGCGCAGCAAAGATTGTCTCCTGCTGCTGCTGCTGCCGCCGCTGCCGCTGCCCGTGACTCCGTGGGCGTCGCGACTCGACTGCTTGAAGTTACGCCAAAAAAAAAAACAAAACAATGGGATGCGGATACGTGTGTCCACCTGTTCGACGCGATGCTCGGCAGGCGTACTTCTAGAGCGAACGCCTCGCTCGTGAACGCAGCCGCGAGGGGCAATCGTAGAGAATGTCCTCTGCCAAGGCTCCGTAGTGGCACCCACCCAAAGATCCACTGGGATGTTGCACGCAGCGTTGTGATACGGTGTTGTTTTTTTTTCTTTTTCTGGAAGATTTGCTGGTTTATCCAGGATGTTGCTGTTGCACGTCGTCGCTTTAAGATGTTTCTCTGTTCATATTTTGTTTGTTGCGGTTGCACCTGACTCAAGAGCCGCATGGCTCACATGGCTATACCTAATAAATGAAACTTGAAACCCGAGCTGTTTGACATTCATACCCGCCATGTACAGCATCTCACACGTTCCAATATGCAGATGACGGAGCCCTTGCTGCATCAGCGCGCACAGCTTGAGCACATTGACAATTAATTTACCGTTAATTTACAATGTCCCCACGAACTCCTGTATACGAGGCGAGGGAGTTAACATCTCTACATACATACAAACAGTCCTCCGATTAGCGCGGTTGGCTGTGTACGGTGCGAAAGAAGTTCAACAATATAACAGCTGATCAAATTTTACTGGAGGCACATTTCAGTCGCTGGAGACTCCGACCAAGTCCCTCCAAAGCCACCACCGCCACCACGAAATGCTTTCCAGATGAAATATCATGCAGAAGATGCACCCTCGAAACGTCCTTCTCTGGTAGCCCAGTGAGGGTTTTATCTTCCACGAATCTCATGGTCCACCCTAAATTGCATCCACTGCATAAACCATGGCAACTTGATGCACAAATGTAAAATTAAGAACTCTTCCAGTCGTAGCGTGCGACTGTGGTCATCCAGAACAGATCGTACAACGAATAACGATGCAATGCCCCGATCCATAAATACGAAAGAGACATCACGGCGATACTCTCCGCCGCTCCTGAAGCGGTTGTCTGCTGGACTTGACCACCTAGATGTGAAATCGTGGTTGTTGCTCTGCATCTACATCAGCAGCCGGACTAATGAAGAAGAAGGAAAAGCAGAAGCCCAGTGCGCGATGACCCCCCCCCCCCAACCCTCCAAGATATCTCGGGGTTATCATGGACAGAAGCCAGACGTTCAAGCCTCGCGTAAAAAAAAAATCTGTGAAAAGACCGAATGAAAAACCTCCCTTCTACTTGTAGGAGCGACCTGAGGGCACCCCAGCCGACTCACGTCCCGATCCGCTGCCTGGACTTGTGTTGTCACATCCTACACCCTCCCCCAGATCCGGAAATGTATAGCAGCCAAATACTCTAAACGCGTGATGTTAATTCTAAATGTGGAGGGGACAAACCGGAGGACCTGGAGAAAAGTCCACGCGGACCACGCGGAGAGAGAGAGAGACGCGAACTCCAAATAGACAGCAGCAGGCGTCAG